CAAGCTCAGATCTTGACCGGTAGGAGATGGGGGGAAAGGGATGCAGAGGGGAATGCGATATATTCGCAGCGAGACGGCGAGCAGAGACGGGGATGATAAAACATAGCGCGAGGAATACGAAGTGGACGACGAGGGACAATACAAAGGTGTTGCCAGAGGCGAGCATGAGCAACGACGAGGACTCAAGGCAACATACGTGATCGGAGGCGAAAGAATAACATATATCTGTCTAAAGTAATATACAGGGTGCAATATATACAGTGGGTAAGACAATAAAGGAGTAAAGGGGAAGCCCTTGAGGCTATACGAATTAGGGGGAGGCGTCGGAACGATATTGATTCCGAGACAAGAAATATGATTTGTGGGCTGTGCTCGCGGAAACAAAATAAATCCGTTCGGATGTCAACGGATCGGGATATTCCGTGATCAGCGACAGGTGATGCTCATCACCAGCCTTAAAAGCAAGGGTGTTAGTCGACATTGATATTCCCTGCTTGATCGATTCGATCCCTCACAATGCACCTCATCAGCACGGCGCTTGTGCTGGCAACTGCCACAGTAACGAAGCCCTCGGCATTATCCTTAGAGTCATGCGATCACGAATGGATCGCTCCAAAGGTCACGGATGCCCGCTCACCTTGGCCAGGACTCAACACGTATGTTGACCTTCCTGCATAACGATCTCTTTTGACCAGCTATCGAGCAGACTTGCGAACCATGGGTATCTTCCCCGCAGCGGTAAAAGGTCACAGTTCCGATGATTATGAAGGCCGCAGCTGGTAAGTGCCAGCACAGACAAGATCGCCGTTTTGCATTGATAGATGGATTCAATGGCCGACGCTTCCATCTCGCGCAACGATTTCGCACTTGGAGATAACCTGCATTTCAGAATTTCAATGAGACCATTTTCTCCACTTTAGCCAACGCCAACCCTGGTATAGATTACTACAATTCCACCTCTGCAGATTAGGTACAGCACGAAAGGCCTGTCAAATTAATCCAAACGCGGAAGGAATTACTTTTCGATCTTCTCACTGGGGTCCCCCCCCAAAACGTTTGTGCACTCCTTCTCATTTTATAATGATGCCTTACCTTCTCTGTTAGATTTTTTTTTTCGCGAGGAGCGAACGCCCATTGCGGAAGGCCGGAAACGTCCTAAGACGCCTATTGCTAGCGAAACTATGGGGCCGATTCAAAATGACGTTATTATACATAGTCGTGGGCCCCACCCAGGCATGTGATCCCCTCGCTCTAGTTCTGGACCTCATGCTTTGACGACGGTGGGGCGGAGACGCGGACAGGTAGCTTCGAACTTGGTCTTTTGTCCACAAGATATTTGGGCCGGATTATTCTTTATGAATATATTATAATTATTAGTTCTGCAAACAGAATTTTCTGCGTGACATAAAGCATACATACCTCATAAACTACACCGTATTGAGAAGACAATTCCAGACCGGCATGTGCGATGCAGTGCGAAGCCCAGTCTGATTCAACCGTGGTCATGTGGTAATGTTCAATTCCCGCTTCCAACAAAAGATAGTTATTCAAATTGGTGATTTTCCTGGTGAATAGTGGCCAGAAAAATCAATGGACTGAAATATTTTAACTACTTCTGATTTATGGAAAGGTTGACCTGGTCAATGGCATAAAATTAGATTTTCCTCACCTCCGCCAGCCATACTACATAGGCCGTTAACAGCCTTTGAGCCTTACGTTCGAGTTCACCTCGACTGTCAAAGTTCATATATCCTAAATTTCTGACCCAAAATATATTTCGGATTTTTCCGGACGACTTTTCTGTTTGACAGTGACACGGGGTCGAGGGCCGCCGAGCGCATGTGGCGGTGCACCCTTCTGATTAAACAAGAAACAACAAGACATGTGACTTTACCTTTGAAACTTCGACGAGTCACGACGACATCCTTGAGGTCGATATACAAGGTGTCCCATCTTATGCCTTCCGTGCTGATGATTGGATCCCTAAATGACCCTCTCTCTTTCATCGTTTGACTGAACACCCCGCAATTCAACGTAGGCGTTACCCTTGCCTCGATGGAGCGAAAAACAATGACATCCAGCAGAAGCACGCAGTACAGAAAGACTTTACAAAGAAAACACGGAGAGCAATGACGAGCAAGTATGGACAGCTGATTGGAGAGGATATACGACGCAAACTGGCAGATAGTTGTGGATGGGCCTAGACGCTACTCGGCACGGTGAGGCAACGAGCTTCAGTTCAAGTCTGGGATACTCACATGTATGATTCATCCAGTACATTGGCCATGCGCTCGAATTCAAAGCGACGCCGACGAGTGGTCGTTTGCGTGCGACCTTCTAAAGAGCCATGATTATGCCAGAAAATAACATTTTTAAAGAACGCACCACGCGTCGATGAACAAACAACCGCGTCGGCAACCTCGCGGAACTCCTTTATGCCCTCAGATAATTGACGTTGGTGTTCAGTTTGAATGGTGAGCTGAAATAATATTTATAACCATTCGTGTCACTGACACAGCGAACATGCTCACCAATGTCGACGTCTGAATTTTCTTCACCTTTTTGGCACACTCGTCGATGCTCTGCATAATCCCCCTCAAACTCTGCAGATATTTCTTCCAAGTCGTATCATTGCGTGTCTTCAACAATCGAGACTGAATCTTGGACGCCGATAATTTCGCCCTAGGAAACCGCACAAAAACCGCATTATAAGTAATGGCCATGCTCGCCCGATGCCAACGCCATTATTAAAGAACTCACTCAAGTAAGCAACGAGCTTCGTTCGTTAGCTCTACGTGATCCCTCGCACATTTTTCTCTCGCGCGCTTCAACATTTCCTCGACGATTTTGATCATGTCCTCGAGCTGACTGAGCTTGTACGATGGTCTCTGGCGATTGGCAGCATAAATTATGAACGATGTCACGACGAGGCCCAGTCCAATGTAGCGAAAGCCTGGTATGGGGGATAGTGCCCAGAATATTATCGAGGTGGATATTTCGCACATAAATGTTGAGGTGGGGCAGCACGAAGGGAGGGAGGCTGTGCAACTTGTACTGTACCAGCAACATCATGATCCCACTTTTGATCCCACTTCATGCCCTCAACACAGCCACATCAACCTGCGCTGCACAATGTTTTTGGCAGTCGGTAAGTATTTGAGCTTTGTCTGTTCTGAAACCAATATTTATGAGCTGAGAAGCTCATGATACAATGTCAAAGCACTCCCCATTTTAAATTTCGGAATACTTGTGCCAATTTGAGGAGTTTATCGCGCTTGTCACGCACTGTCACACATTGTGACCCTCATGACGCCGGCACTTTGCGTTTTTAAGCCGCCACACCCGTTCTGGTGCCTCCAGTCGGTGATGGCACCTTTTTTCGGATAAATATCTCGAGATTGGTTAATGCCAATTTTTTCTTTATCAAGCTGGCATCCTTGCCGAGGGATTCCATAAGGCACTCCAATTCCTAGGGGATATCTTGCTTTCTCGGTGTGATGAGCATGCAGCCATCAGCCTGTTCACAGTTGTTTTAGAGGGATTCACACATGGATGTTCATTAGAGCAGAGCACAATGCATGCTCCGACTTGGAGATATTTCCAAGGGTCATAACGACCTGCTCAAAATGATGGAACTCTGGGAAACAGCAAGGCAACTGCTCGAACGGTCATCCCAGGCTAACCAGGTTGAACAAATTGATGAAAGGCTAGCTGATGTCAACAAAAATATAGTAGAGCAACACAAAAAACACTTGGCTTGTCTTTCAGAGCTCAATGTACCTTCGGCAGCTATGAAGGCCATAAGTGATATGTCTGACAATGAAAACATGAAGAGACTGGACTTGAATGATGCTTGATCTGGCTGCAGTCTAATTTTTCATAGTATTTATTTGTTTCAGAGAGGATCCATGTAGTATTTTTAAGTTTGACTTGTCACTATCCCTATACCTAACAATGCCTTACCCTACTGTTAGATTTGTGCAGATTTAATTTCGCAAGGGGCAAATGCCTATTGCAGAAAGCTGGCCCTTCCTAATACACGAATCACTAGCGAACAATCAAACCAATTCAAAATGCCATTATAGTCGCTTAATAATGTGTCCTCACCCAGGTGTGTGAGCCTCACATATTATTAGTGTGTTAGTGCAATTTTGCCAAAAAAAGATGGTCAGGATGTAACTGTGCTTCCCTCTAAGAAAATACTCGGTATAACTTGGACAGCCCTCAACTTGCGAGAAAATATTTGGTGTAATTCTACAGCCCTGCTTTGCGAGGAAAAACTTGGTATTGCAATAGCCCTTGCTCCTTGATAAAATACTTGGTATTGGATTCCATGACTGCAGTCCATTGGACTTGCCTTGGATCCCACTGTTATGGTGTGATCTTATTCTTCAAAAAATTTAATTGAGTTATCGAATGCTGTCGAACACGAGTGGAATGGAAGAGGTCAATGGATTTCAACCCAGAGTGGTATTTTATGTGCTATTGCCCTGATTTTCTGTGAGCAGTGGTTTGAGGACAGGTGTATTTCAAACTCATCCAGATTACAATGGCCTTGGTCTATCACACAATTTGTACCCAGGAAAGAATGACCAGTTCATTCTGTGTTCAGCTTTATGGAATGATTCTAAAGCCTGAGTTGATGCAAAAAATATAGGTCAAATTTACTTTCATGCTCCATGCTCCATGCCCCCCCCCCTTTGACTGGTGAAAACTTTATTCTGTCTGTTGCCAAGTACTTTCTCAGAATTTCAACCTGACACTGTCTTCCACTCTACCCTTCCAAAAATACCTGAAAATTTTACCAAAAAATCAAGTCAAATGCCCAGCCTCTCCATCTTTCAACTCAATTTCGAATTCAACCCCCAAGTACCCAACCAATCACGTGTCCCATCAAACACAAGCGCAAACAACAAAACGCCAATCGCCCAATTGGGAAGTTGAGCCTCCCGCTCTTTCCTCCTTCCCCCCTTGACTCTTCTTCGCTCACAGCTCTTCACACACTGATGGTGAAGCGGTTATCATGCTTGACTTCCACTCACGTGATTTACGCTTACGTAATCAGTTAGCAAGCGGCAGGGGTTCGACTCCCCTTCAGTGTATTTTTGTGGGAGCGACGAGTTTCCTTTTCTTTTATCATCTGGTTGAATGAGGCACAAGAGTATTATTCGGTTCTGCGTATCGCACATCCGATGCAGTATGGTCTACCCTGATGGTGAAGCGGTTAAATCATAATCTGAAAGCAAGTGGCAGCGTTCAACCTCTCCTTTGTGCTGTGTTCTTGAATAGCATTTACGAGCTGACTATCATTGAATTAGTACTATAGAAAAGGCCGTATAGTACTAATTCAAAGTGACATTAAAAGCCTGTGCGTTGTCCAAATATTAATATCGTCTTCACTCTATCTCCGCCCTTTCCTTTCTCATGGGAGCAAGCTAAAATTCGGTAGTATCTAGTTGAATGAGATCCTACAAGTTTATTCATTCCTATAACGTACATTCGATACGGTGGCCTAACTTGAACTTTGAACTCGCTCCCCTGATGGTGAAGCAGTTAAATCGCAATCCGAATTTTTATCAAAAAACCGACGCTGCCCCTTCTCCTTCCCGCAAGATACAGGGTCTGGGAGACTGAGGATGTGAACTGGACACAGGGAAAGCTCCAGAAGCATTGTGTGGGATCTTGAACTCAACCTTACTAAGCAGCCGATATGCCGACGCATCGCAATCCGAACTACCGCCGCACAATCATGTCAGACAGCCCCGCTAGCATTGTCGACGCATCTGCGCCGTTCTCCGGCGTCGTAGACGCAAACGAACTCAATCTTCAACCTGATGTGATCCTCCGATCCAGCGACGGCGTCGATTTCCACGTGCACAAGATCATCCTCCAAATCGCAGCCCCGCACTGTTTTGGTGCGATGTTTACGATTCCAAGTTCCGGAGACTCGGACATCGTTCGAGACGGGAAGAAAGTCATCCCACTTACTGAGCCAACGAAAGTCCTACAGGCCCTCTTATCGCTCGCCTACCCCCCGACTACGGTGCAGTCTTTTGTACTTACTGCCGAAACTCTGGGTGGATTCATCGATGTCTACAATGCGGCCGATAAATATCAGTGCACCCGTATACAGCGGCTGCTGGAGACGATGCTGGAACACCCTATGGTGCTAGATATCTACCCACACAGAGCATTTGTGATAGCACGTATATGCGGGATCGAGCGCGTTGCCCGGCGGGCTGCCTTCTCCTTGGCCACCTTCCCCTCTATCCCCACCGACTTCCCGGAGATGAAACGTATGACTTGGGACTAATGTTGCCGCGACTCGCGACTCCGAGGCTTCGAGTCGACTCCGCAAGTCGACTTAAGTCGAGTCGAGTCGAGTCATAGATGTGACTTTGTGTGACTCCCGAGTCGAACCAAGTCGACTCGGCCCGACTTCGAGTGACTTCGAGTCGGTCTCAAAAGTCGATTATGTACCTTTCATCAACTACTACTCAGAGGAGTTGAGAGAACACCTGGAAATCACATTAAACACCATTTCTCTTGTGATTTGTTGCCAGGGTTATGAAGCGGCTTTGGTAGCAATCAATATACCTCAAAAATATTTGGGCAGGATTGGGAAGAGGTATAGAGTGCTCTAAAACTTACTACGTGAAGTGCAATGTCCTTAACTTGGAAAAATGGGGTATTGAAGTCAAAGATCAAAGGTTGATGTCCCATCACTTTTATCTAAGGGCGCCGGTAATGGTAAACATACTTCAGAAATATCTTGGAACACTTTAGGGGCGTTACATGGGTGCCCCACAGTAATTTACAACCACATTGGACCTTTCTGTGGACAATATTCAGAAAATCCGACTTCATCGACTCGAGTCGACTTGAGTCGACTTCGAGTGACTCAGTGGCCCGAAGTCGAGTCGAGTCGAGTCGAACAGCTCTTGGAGTCGACTTACCGAGTCGTGACTCGACTTTTCGAGTCGCGGCAACATTACTTGGGACGAGGGCCAAAAACTCTCGAAGTTTTCCGAGGTCGCTCGGCACTCTGCACGCACAATTTTGGAAGGCCAGAAGCATTCCCACCGATATTATATGGAAAACGAAGACGTTCCCAGGCAACCTCTGATGAAGCGGCCCGATGAAAGGAGTGTATTCGTTTGGTGGGACACTGGTGCACCAAGCCATAACGAGGCGTGCGCTCCAGGATGCGCGGGGAAGAATTTAAAGTTTGATACGGAAGGTTTTGGCACGTTTTGGCGGCTGGAGACACCAACGACATGGTTTCGGAATCATATCGAACATCTCACGGACCAAATGCCCGGAATTAGCCTAAAACAACGATTACTATACACGGACCTCCGTGAATGTGACCGGAAGATACTTGACGGCTGCCAGAGATGCTCTCAGTGGGCAAAGAAAGATCTTTCTGACTTCGCTCTACGACTCGAGGATGTGATGACAGAAGAAAAGGACCGAATATGTGCGTTACGATTTCTATAGCTCGTTTCCACCCTAAGTCTTTTCTGCAGATGATAAATTCTTTGGTGTTGTTACAGCTTGAATATTCTCGGAGGTCCGCAGCAAAAACAACCTCCTTCTGTGTATGTTTTTCCCTTCTCGTTTTGACTCGTCGAAAATAGTATTTACGCACTCTACAGCACCGACTATGATTGTGCACGGGCTTGTTGGCTTTCTGTAATATTAATTCAAAGTGAAAGATCACCGGCATCAAAAGTTCATTGTTCAGATATTATCTTTACTTTGTCTCCGCCCTTTCCTTTCTTCATTGTGGGAGCAAGCTAAAATGGGGTAGTATCTGGTTGAATGAGATCCTACAGTTTTATGCATTCCTGCATAGCATACATTCGATACGGCGGTCTAACTTGAACTTGAACTCGCTCCCCTGTCAATGATGGTGAAGCGGTTGAATAGCAAACGAGCAAGGTTCAACCTCACCTTCTGTCTGTGTGTTTATCTTGTTGTTTTGAATCTAAAATAATGTTTACGCGTTCTGCAGTGTCGACTACCGTGTAGGGTCTTGTTTCTTTGGGGACATCCACTAGGGTATGGTTTAACATCGCTGCCCTGATGGTGAAGCGGTTATAATTAAATCGTAATCCGACGCTCCCCATCTGCCAATTATTTGTATTCTTATCTAAGTTGTCTTGGCTCGTCTAAAATAGTATTTACGCACTCTACAGCACCGACTATGAGGTCTCGTTTCCTTGGCAGTACTAATTCAAAGTGAACTTTGAAAACCGGCATCAAAAGTTCATTTCCCAATATTACCTTTACTTACTTTGCCTTCACCCTTTCCTTTCTTCATCGCGCGAGCGAGACTAATGTGGTAGCGTTTGGTAGCTACTCATTTCAAGCTTTCAACGCAAAGGCGATATAAGTGAGTATTAATACTGTACATTGATGCATGTAATCCGTCCATCCTTGTATCCGTATCCATTCCTGCTGTAGACGAGTAAGTAATATAACATATCCTTCCCTTCTCTCTCTCCTCACTCCCGCCCTCTCCCACACGCGTGGTAACCAAGCTCTCGTATGAATATAGGGCTACCGCAACTCCGCCGGCCACTCGCTCCTCCTCCTCCACCGCCCGTCGGCGTCGAAGCGCGGGTTGGGGACGTAGTGCAGGCCGTCGCCGAGCGGGGCGCCGATGGGGACTACAAAATGGGGGTTAGTACGCTGCTGACACTGGGAGGTGGGGAGAGGGGGGAGGGGAGGGGGAGGGGGAGGGGGAGGGGGAGTCCACCGTGCTCGACACACCGCAGCCGGGCTCGACCAGACGGTGGGCGGAGGGGAAACTGTGGTCCAGAGTCCAGAGTCCAATGCTCGGAATCAAGACTCGAGTCCAAAACTCGAGGTCGAGGGCCCAGAGCCACCGCTCGGTCCAATGCTCGCAGTCCAAGACTCGGAGTCCACTCGACGACGAGGCGTCAAGGGCGGTCAAAGAAGGGGAGAGCGATCGGGGAGGACGCCGAAAGACAGGAGTCGAATATCGCACAAGAAATACGGGATGAAGAAAGTATGGGGAGGTAGATAGAGAAAGCACTCACAAACCCACCCCCACACACTCCTCCCCATCACGTCCTCCCACCCCTTACGCGCCGACCCAGGCCACCACACGTTCCCTTCCGTGTCTGGCGCGCCCCACTCCGCGTCGTAGGCTTTTAGGGCACGGCGTTTTGTGCTGTGCGTGAAAAGAGGGGGGTTAGTGCATACTTCGAGAGAGGGAGTGAGGAAGGTAAGAAGGAAGCAGAGAGGGAGGGAGGGAGGAGGTAGGACGGGGAAGGGGGTAGGGAGGTAGGTAGGGGAAAGGAAGTAAGAAAGTAGGGAGGAGGGAGGGAGGTATATGGGAACGAGCCCCGAAGAGCCCAAAGAGAACGGAGGTAGTAGGAAAGACGAAAGCACCACTCACCCAACCTCCCAACACCCAATCCCCGCGTCCGCCAGCCCCGCGCCCTCGCGCTCCTTCAGGCGCTGTACGCCTAGACTCTCCACCTTCAAAACGAATTACATCAGTTCCATTATTATTATCATTTTCATTCGCTATATAGCCTTTTATGGGAATATGTATACGCACCGTCGTCTGCGAAAGCAGTATAAACCGCGTGTGGGCCACTCCGAGCGAGAAGGTGAAGAGCGCGAAGAGAGCCGCTCTGCGGGTGCGTAGTACATATTAGTAGGGTTTTAAATTCGAGATCCACCAAAAAGGAATTTTTTTTAAAACGAAAGGAAGGCAGCAAAGGAGACTCACAGCGCCATCACTACCACCTCCTGCGGGTCTACGTCGGTCTCTCCCACCCCGCCCCCACCCCTGGCCCCACCCCCACCCACGTTGACGTTGAATGCGAGGAGCGAGAAAAACGTGTAGAGCGTGAATACGAGCGTGGCGAGGGAGAAGTTGAGGAAGAACTGGGGGGAGATTAGTGAGCCGGCGGGTCATAGCAAACCAGAGAAGGTAGAAGGAGAGGGAAAGAGTGTGAAGGATGGAAGGAAGGGGAGGAGGGCAAGGAGAGGGAGGAGGGGGGGAAGGGGACACAAACCTTATGGTTCCGCGCCCCGACACACTGCCCAATCCAAGGACAGT